GTCGGAGGATGGATGGAGGATGACCTCCGTGGTTGGAGTGTCTGGAGTATAGAACATGCTTGCGGAACCAGCTTTTGGTTCGAGTCGCGGACCCTAGACGCGCGCCATAGTAGTGCGGTGACTGTTCCATTGTTTGAAGGGATTGTCCGGGAGAATGGACCAGTTACCGCGCTGGTCACAGGGTTTGCGATGGGAGGAGTTCCGCAACAATACCATGAACAGGGGAGCGGAATGGCTTCGTGGTCGTTTTGCCTGTTGGCTCGTTGTCGCTTACGAGCATTCCGCGCTGGAAGCCGTGCAGTTGCTGCTTCAAAAAGACCAGCGTTGCGTCCTTGGCGCAATCGACCCTATGTCTTGGAAGCGTTGTGGCACCTGGAAGGTTTGCGCGCGGAATGGCAGAGAGACTTCAGCGCAACACACCGAGGCTAATTCATGTCGCGGGTCGTCCGTCGAGACTGTTCGGGACGAACCTACGACATCATCGCTCAAACGACGGGATCCGCGGCTGCCACAAAAAGGGACGTGACGTTAATATGTGTCTACTTCACCTGCATGACAAACGATGTGCAGTTGGAACGCACGAGTCACTTGTCATGATCGTAACGTCGCTTGCTCTCAGGTCGCAGTGTTGGTGGCAACTTCAGTGTGAAATGTACGTTCTTCAGTTCTGTTTGAACTTCTTCAGCATTGAACTTGCACAGCTAAGGTTGACGTTGCGCTGCCGTTGCGTCGACGCATCTCCGTCTACATCCCTTCACCTCTCTACATTTACATCTTGACACGCTCGCATCCCCACATCTACCTCTCCACCTCACCACACCCACACATCTGCGCATCTATATCACATCTGTACATCCACGCTGTCGCTCCTGGACTTCTGTCCTGTCTTTCTTTCTTTCTACATATCATTCTCTCGCCTTTGTACATTTACATCTTCGCACGCTCACATCAACGAATCTACCTCCCCACATCGCACCTGCACATCCACACAGTCACTCCTTCACGTCCACTCTCTCTTTCTCTCTTTCTATACATCTTTTCGACAGTGCTGGACAATCACATGTCTCGCTCTCGGGTCAACCGTCGTCTAGTTGAGGAAGTCTCGTACGAAACGCTCGTTTTGGAGACTTGACGCGTGACTTTTGGAGGAAATCTCGTACGAAATGCTCGTCTTGTAGATTCCAAGCGTGACTTTTGGAGGAAGCCTCGTACGAAACGCTTGTTTTGCAGACTCGAAGCGTGACTCGAAGCCTCGCCTGTGCCGGCGTGTCGCTGGTGAGCGGGATGATTGGTGGTATCGTGTGATATGTTTGCTTCTAGTGTGTGGGCAGACCGTGTGGCGAAATTACGTTCGTGATGTCGCAGTGCCATGCGGATTTGCGCGGCCTTGGTGGGAAGTGCGTTTGCGTGGTGACGTACCACTGGGGAGAGCGAAACATGCTGGTGTAAACGCGGCGTGTCGCTGGTGAGCGGGATGATTGGTGGTATTGCGTGATACGTTTGCTTCTAGTGGGTGGCGGACTGTGTGGCGAAATTACATTCGTGATGTCGCAGTGCCACTTGGTGGGAGTGCCCCGTAAGGGTGTTCCACAAAGTGTCCCAGAAGAGTGTCCCACAAGAGTGTCCTACAAGAGTTTCTCACAAGAGTGTCCCACAAGAGTGTCCGACAACAAGTGTCCCACAAGAGTGTCCCGTAAAGTGTTGCAGAAGAGTGTCCCACAAGAGTGTCCTGCAAGAGTGACCCACAAGAGTGTCCTACAAAAGTGTCTCGCAAGAGTGTCCAACAAGAGTGTCCGACAAGAGTGTCCCATAAGAGTGACCCACAAGAGTGTCCTATAAGAGTGTCCCACAAGAGTGTCCTACAAGAGTGCCCCACCCACAAGAGTGGCCTACAAGAGTGTCCCACAAGAGTACCCCTGATAATTACTCGCTCGGATGGAGGATGATTCACTGCTGTATCCCTCGACTGGTATTGACCATGGGGCAATCCACAACATGAGCCGATCTATGTCTTCCTTCAATTGAACATGGTTGCAGAGATACTCCATCATCTTTCCAACCACACCCACGTAGTCAGGAATCTTTGCTTTCGTTCCTGCAAGATCGCTTCTTGTCCTTTCATCCCACGCCTTCTGCATTGTGAGCTGGGACATGAGCAACGCAACCCTATCAGGACCACCCAATTGTCTATACGACCTGACCAACTCGTTGTGCATCATTCCAAGCGAAGAATCCATGCACATGACGACAGCCATCCTCTCCATAGAACTCAGAGGCATTGTCCTAGGTTCTGTCAACTCAACCCCACCGGGTGTCATGTCACTGCATTCGATCATTATTGTAGGGCGATCATGGATGCCATACTTCCTAGAACGCAAGGGACAAATGGCTCCAGAGAGTATGCGGCAGCGGACAAAGATCCAGCGCCAGCCCCAGAAGAGACAATCATTGGCGTGGTGAATGTGTCCCCGGTCAACACACTTGCTCTTGCCAATCGCTTTGTACGGCTCGGCAACAATGCTGAGGCATCGATCACTTCCTTGGAGACCATCCATACGAACAAGTCCCAGCTAGTCTCATCAAAGTTGAGCTTCGTTCCATTGAGAGTGCAGATGTCCAAGACTTCGTGGTAATACTCTCGATTCCTTCTCTCCAGGTCATCGTGATACAGGGTCAGAGTGTCCCACAAGAGCGTCCTATAGGAGCGCCCCACAAGTGTCCTACAAGAGTGACGAGTTTCCTACAAGAGTGTCACAAGAGTGTCCCACAAGAGCGTCGTAGAAGAGTGTCCTACAAGAGTGTCCTACAAGAGTGTCCCACAAGAGTGTCCCGTAAGAGTGTCCCACAAGAGTTTCCTACACGAGTGACCCATAAGAGTGACCCACAAGAGTGTCCTATAAGAGTGTCCCACAAGAGTGTCCCGTAAGAGTGTCCCACAAGAGTTTCCTACACGAGTGACCCACAAGAGTGTCCTACAAGAGTGCCCCGCAAGAGCTTCCTACAAGAGTGACCCACAAGAGTTTCCGCTGCCCATGTAGCATTTCTATTCATTTGTCTCCCAGGTCTGTAACTGGTGTCATGTAGCATTTCTATTCATTCCCCAAGCAGTTTACTGTTAGGGGTTCTCAATTCTTTCTTAAGATGTGTCCGCCCCCTTTGTGTCACTGCTGGTGTCCGCCCTTTTCCGCTGGCCATGTAGCATTTCTAGTCATTTGTCTCCCAGGTGTGTTGCTGCTGGTGTCCGCCCTTTTCCGCTGGCCATGCGGCATTTCTATTCAATTGTTTCCCAAGTCTGTCACTGGTGGTGTCCGCCCCTTTCCACTGGCCATGCAGCATTTCTATTCATTTGTCTCCCAGGTGTGTTACTGCTGGTGTCCGCCCTTTTCCGCTGGCCATGCAACATTTCTATTCATTTGTCTCCCAGGTCTGTCATTTGTCTCCCAGGTCTGTCACTGCTGGTGTCTGCCCTTTTCCGTTGTCTCCCTTCATTCTTTGTCTCCGGTCTTGTATCTGTGTCCGTCTTGTCTCCCTTCTGTTATCTTTTGTCTCCCTTTTTTGTCTCCCTTCTTTTCTCCCTTCTTGCTGGTCTTTGTGTCCGCCTTGTCTTCCTTCTGTCTCCGGTCTTGTCTCCCTTTTTGGTGGTCACTGCGTCTGTCTTGTCTCCCTTGTGTTTCCCTTTGTCTTCCTTCTTGTCTCCCTTCTTGTTGGTCATTGTCTCTGGTCTTGTCCCCAATTGTTGTTGGTCACTGTGTCCGTCTTGTCTCCGTTCTGTTTCCTTTGTCTCCCTTCTTGTCCCCCTGTTGGTCATTGTGTCCGCCTTGTCTCCCGTCTTGTCTCCCTTTGTCTCCGGTCTTGTCCTCCTTCTTGTTGGTCACTGTGTCCGTCTTGTCTCCTTTCTTTTTTTGCTTCCTTTTTGTCTCCCGTCCTGGTGGGTCATTGTGTCCGCCTTGTCTCCCTTCTGTCTCCCTTTGTCTCCGGTCTTGTCTCTGTTCTTGTTGGTCACTGTCTCCGTCTTGTCTCCCTTCTGTTCCCTTTTTTTTCCTTCTTGTTCCGCTTCTTGTTGGTCATTGGGTTCATTGTGTCCGTCTTGTCTCCCTTCTGTCTCCCTTTTTTCTCCGGTCTTGTCTCCCTTCTCAGTGGTCATTGTGTCCGTTTTGTCTCCCTCTGTTTCCTTTTGTCTCCCTTCTTGTCTCCGTTCTTGTTTGTCATTCTGTCCGTCTTGTCTCCCTTCTTGATGATGTCTCAAAAAGTGGACTTGGGAATGCTTCGTTGTTGTCTAACCTGTTTGGGGTCTACGGTGGTGTAATTCAATTTTTTGTTGTTTTCTAGATGTCCTCGTGTTTCGTAAGTTTCATAGTCATTTTTTTGGCTTTGTTTTTTCCAGATGGGTTCCATGCTTGCCTAGCTTTATGTCTCTTTTTGGTATGGGCGCTTTTGGGATATTCTAAAATTCCCCAAACAGGTTTACCTGTGAGGGGTTCTTCCTCCTTTTAATGGGGCGCATGCTCGGGCCGGATGATTTTGAGTTTGTCTCCGGGCTTGTGTTCCTGGCCGCATGATTTCACCCTTGTCTCCCACTTGTCTCCCACTTGTCCCCCAGTAAGCTCTGGATGCTCTCAGTGCTCTGGCCGCATGATTTTATACTTGTCTCCCATTTGTCTCCCACTTGTCTC